ATGATACATAAGGCAACAAAAACATAAAGGGGTTTATTAGATGATAAGGTTCATACACTCCACTTAAAAAGGTAAAATGTTGATTCTAAGCATATTGTATTAATTTAAATATATATGGTAATCTGTAGGGCAGTCACCAAAGTAAACTATGTAAATATATACAATCAAAAACACAACAGAGAATTTAAAATGTAATATTTTAAAAGTTCAAGTAACCCAAAAGAAGGCAGAAAAAAATGAACAAAAACAAAAGAAAAAACAGAAAACAAATAATAAAATGGCTATTATAAAAACCTAAATTCAAGAGTATTAATAATCACATTAAATGCAAATGGACTGAGCATCAAAAATTCTCAAAATGAATTAAAAGATATTACCCAACTGTTATGGACTAAATTGTGTCCCTCCTCCCCACCCCAAATTTATACATTGAAGTCATGAAGCCCCAACCCCCAATGTGACTGCATTTGGAGACAGGGCCATTATGGCGGTAAATGAGGTCATAAGGGTAGGATCCTAACCTGACAGAATTAGCATCCACGTAAGAAGAAGAATGGCCACCAGAGCTCTCTCTCTCTCCACGCATGAGTAGAAGAAAGGCAATGTGAGGATACAGCAAGAAGGTGATCATCTGCAAGCCAGAAAGAGTGCCCTCACCAGAAATCAAATCATCTGGCACCTTTATCGTGAACTTCTAGCCTCCAGAACTGTGACAAAAACATTTTTTTGTTGTTTAAGCCCCCAGCCTGTGGTACTTTGTTATGGCAACCCAAGTACACTAATATACCTAGCTATATACTGTCTAAAAGAATGTATCTCAAAGATAATATAGGTAGGATAAAAGTAAAGATGGGGAAAAGTATACCATTAAAATATTAGTCAAAGGAAAACTGGGATGACCACATTAATAACAGCCAAAGCATATATATATATATATATATATATATATATATATATATATGCACAGAGCTTCAAAATATATGAAGCAAAAATTGACACAACTGACAGGAGAAATAGACAAATCTACAACAATACTGTATACTTCAAAATTCCTTTTTCAGTACTGATAGAACCAGTAGACAGAAAATTAGCAAGAATATAGAACTAAACAACACCATCGGCTGCCTGAATGCAGTTAACATATAACAAGCACTCCACTAACAAACAACAGAATATACATTCTTTTCAAGTATACATGGAATATTCACCAAGACAGGTCATATCATCAGTCAGAAAACAAACTTTAGGCCAGGCACGATGGCTCACACCTGTAATCTCAGAGCTTTGGGAGACTAAGGCGAGAGGATCACTTGAGATCAGGAGTTTGAGACCAGCCTGGGCAACATAGCAAGACTCCATCTCTACAAAAAAAAATTTTTTTAATTAGCTAGGCATGGTGGTGCAAGCCTGTAGTCCTAGCTACTTGGGAGGCTGAGGCAGGAGGATTATTTGAGCTCATGAGTTCAAAGCTGTAGTGAGCCATGATAATGCCACTGCATTCCAGCCTAAGTGACACAGCAAGAACCTGTCTCTTAAGAAAATTTTTTTAAACAAATTTAAAAGCATTGAAATCATGCAATGTATATTCTCAGACCATAATACATTTTTTTCAAAAACTAATAACAGAAAGATAACAGGAAAGCCTCCACATATTTGGAAATTAAACATCATTCTTCTAAATAATATCCTGGCCAAAGAAGAAGTCTCAAAGAAAATTAGAAAAGACTTTGAACTGAACCAAAATGAAAATACGACATACAAAAATGTGTGGCATGCCACTAAAGCTTAGAGGAAGTCTTATAGCCTTAAATGCATACACTGAAAAATTTTAAATCAATAATCTAAGCTTCCTTCTTAAGAAACAGAAAAAAAGAGCAAAAGAAACACAAAGCAAATTAAAGAAAGAAAGTAACATAGAAAATAAATCGAGGCTGGGCACAATGGCTCACACCTGTAATAACCAGCACTTTGGGAGGCTGAGGTGGGAGTACTGCTTGAGCCCAGGAGGTCAAGACCAATCTAGGCAACACAGTAGAATCTCGTCTCTACAAAAATAAGAATAAAAAATAGATTAGTTGGGCATGATGGCACATGTCTGTAGTACCAGCTACTCAGGAGGCTGAGGCAAAAGAATCTCCTGAGGCCAGGAGGTCAAGGCTGCAGTGAGTCATGATTGTGCCACTGCACTCCAGCCTGGGTGACAGAGTAGACTCTGACTCAAAAAAAAACTTTTTAATAGAAAAATAGAGAAAAATCAATGAAACCAAAAGTTGATTACTTGAAAAGAATAATAAAATTTATAAACCCCTAGCAAGACTGATAAAGAAAAAAAAGAGAAGACACAAATCACCAATATCAGAAGTGAAACTACAGATATTAGAAAGATAATAACGGAACACTACAAATAACTCTTCACACACAAATTTGACAACTTAGACAAAATGGATCAATTTTTCAAAAAAACAAACTAAAAAACACAAAAAACACAAACTACCAAAACGCACTCAACATGAAAAAGACAACATAAATAGACCCAGAACTAATAAACAGAATTTTTAGATAGACGCCTCCTCCAAAAAGAAAACTGCAGGCACAGATGGTTTCACCAGCATAGTCTACCACATATTTAAAGAAAAAAAATGACACCAAATTTACACAAAATCCCCCAGAAAATAGAAGAGAAATATTTTTCAACTCATTTTACAAGGCATTATACCCTGATACTAAAACCAAACAGAAAAAAAAGTACAGGAAAAGAAAACTAAAGACATATCCCTTGTGAACATAGGTACAAATGTCCTCAACAAACTGAATCTACCAATACATAAAAAGAATAATACACCATGACCAGGTAGGGTTAATTTCAGGAATGAAAGGCTGGTTCTGGATTATAGATCTAAATGTAAAATCTAAAACTATAAAACTTATAGGAGAAAATCTTCATGACCTAGAGTTAGGCAAAGCGTTCTTAAACAAGACAACAAAGGTACGATCCACAAAATGGATAATTTATAAATTGGACATTTTCAAAATTGAAAATTTTTGCTCTGAAAAATAAAAGAATAAACCATACACTTGAGAAATACAAACCATGTATCTGACAAAGGACTTATATAAAGAATACATAAAGAACTCTCAAAACTCAATAGTAAAAAAATCCAATTTAAAAACGGGCAGAAACTTTTGAACAGACACTTCATCAAAGAGGATATGCAAAAAATAAATAAGAATATATAAAGATGCTCAACATCTTTAGCCATTAGGGAAATGTGGGTTAAAACCATGAGATACCACTACATACCTGTTAGAATGACTAAAATAAAAAATATTGACAATACCAAGTGCTGACAAGAATGTGGAGCAAATGGAACTTATACATTGCTGGAGGAAATTAAAAATGGTTCAACCACCCTAGAAAACAACTTGGCAGATTCTTAAAAAGTTAAACATACACTTACCATATGACCCAACAATCCAATATCTATTCCGGAGAAATGAAAACGTAAGTTCACACCAAAACCTACATATGGTTGTTTCAAGTAGCCCTACTTATAACTGCCCAAAACTGGAAAGAACCCAAATGTCTTCATTTTTTTGAAAGCAGGATTTATTGAGAAGACAGAAAAGCTCACACAGTGGGAGGGGACCCAAGGGGGTTGCCCCCAAATGTCTTTCAATAGGTAAATGGATACATAAGCTGTGGTACATTTTTACCATGGACAATAAAAAAGAAAGAACTACTGATACATACAACAACTTGGATGAATCTCCAGGATACTGTGTTGAGTGAAAAAAAAATCCAATCCCCAAAAAGTCACATACTGTACGATTCCATTTATATCGCATTCTTGAAATGACAAAACCCCTGAAATGGGGAACAGACTAGTAGTTGCCAGAAGTTTAGAAATAGGTATGAGGAAAGAAGGGCAGCGAACGTGGCTACGAAAGGACAACTTGAAGGACCCTTGTGGAGATGGGACTATTCTCGGTTTGACCATATCAATATCAATATCCTGATTTTGATATTGCACTATAGTTTTGCAGGATGTTATCATTGAAGAAAATAGAAAAGGTTACACAGGATTTCTCTGTATTATTCTTACAACTGCATGTAAACCAATCACCTCAAAAGAAAAAGGTTACATAGTATGTGACGTTCTTGAAGAGACAAAATTATAGGAATACAAAACAGATCTGTCATTGCCTGAGGTTACAGGTGGAGAGGATATGACTATAAAGGCATTGAATAAAGAGTTTGAGGGGTGATGAAGCTATTATCTATCTTATAGATCAGTTACACCAATCCATACATGTGCTAACATTTATCAACCTGTACAAAAGCAAAATCAATCTTACTGAATCAATCTTACTGAAAGAAAAAAATCAATCTTACTGAAAGAAAAAAGGTGGTGGGCTGTAGGTATCTGAAGAACTTTTGTCTCGACCAAAAAAAAATTTGAAGTCCAACTGAGAAGATTACTTCAGGAAAATCATTTGAAAGACCAGTAGGTTCCCTAAGAGCTTTCATGCCCAAATTACATTTTGACACGATGTCTCCAGTTCACTGAGGAATGCTGTAGGAAATATCTATAGAAAACCAGAGACTGCATTTGTCACCAGGCTGTGGCTGAGGACAACTCCACTATACACAGGAAGACCCAGCAAAGAAATGCCTTGAAATGCAATTTCAGGAAACCTTGACTTCTCCTGAGGGCTTGGTGTACTCTCTCCTGATGAGAAAGGTGTACCAAGGTACTGATTATGTTTCCCTTTGGCTGCCAGAAAGCTCAAAGAGAAAGTGACAGTTCAACATTACGATCTGTTATACCGTAGGTCCTGCACATGTCCACATTTTAACTTGGCCTTGATCTGCTGTCTCTCATTTTCTCTGATCCTAATCCTTATTTACAAATAATTTCCTATTTTATGGCAGAGATTCCCACATATCTCATCACATCCATGGTAAAATGGAGGAATGAACAGATAGACAACATACTTACCTGGATTTTGGCCATTTCCTGTTCCTCTTGGGAAAAAGCAGAGATGAAAGCTGAGCTGGAACAAATGGAGAAGAATAGAGCATATGAGGAGACCCAATCAGGTTTTCAGTGTCCAGAATTATCTGCCTAGAAATCTCCTCATACTAGCTGGCCATGAGGCCACTCCATGGAAGAGTTTGGGCAACCATGTGGTTTTAACCTATGAATTCTGACTCTTTTCTTCATGTGAAGATGGAACACAAGAGGATAGAGATATAGATAGATAGATAGATAGATAGATAGATAGATAGATAGATAGATAGATAGATGATAGTATACTAACCCAAAAACTGTATTTTTAGGTATTTTCCTTAATGAAATAAGTTATCATAATGTATCATAATTTATCTGTAAGTACCTTCATCTCGGCACTGATATTAATAATGCCAAACTTAAATGATCCTATATGATCCACAATAAGGGATTAATAATAAGGAAATATAGGGCATGAAATGCTATACAGCTGTTATGTTATTGGAAGTGAACACTTATTATCTATATACTTTGTGGTACATCTATCTCAACAAAGTTTTTTAAATGGTATAGAAAAAATGTTAAGCTGCTTATTAAACTTCTAAACAAAAACAAAGTAGATCTTAAAAACTGCAGGAACCCATTTTAAAAGTATATGTTAAATGTTTAAAAGGCATACCTCTGTACACACTAAAAAGGTCTAAGAATGGACATTTCAAAGTGTGGGGGGGATACAATTAGTTCTTTTTTATTTTCTTGTCCCATTTCTTAAGTAATCTACAATTCAAATATGTTCTTTATTAAATGCCCCCCAAACTGAACTCTAAAACTATTATCCCTATGACGTTTTACCTCCATGCCCACCAGGCCCCACAGCAGCAGGCCCCACCCACCCCTCCCTGGCCCCAGTGGTCAGGTGAGTCCTCACAGGTGCCTCTTCTCTCCTCACCTCACTGGGGCAGTCTCGCCCAGGAGCCGGAAAGAGGCCTTCAGATGCAGTTCACTTCAGCTGGAGTATTCACACCAAGCCTCCACCTCGGGGCTTGGGCAAAGGGAGGAGCGGGGCGCGTCTTAAAAGGGGGCCTGAGGGATGCTCATGAACCCTTAGCGCAGGTCACTGCTGGAAAATGTGTAAAAGTCAAAATTTAATAAGTCCCATTCAATCCTGACTAGCCCCATAACTTTGTCCCACCATTGAGCCCCCAGACCCTCATTCACTGACCTCTAGGTTCCCCATCACTCACCCTCCCAACCCTCCCTTCACTCACCCCCAGAACTCCCCATCACTCAGCCCGCGACCCCTAGAACTCGCGCCCTCAACCTCACTCTCCCGCGACAACAGATTTTCTGCTTGCTGCTGAGGAGACCGTTATAAGAACTGGCCCCGAGAAGCGCTTCCGCTTCGGGATCGACTCTCTGGCACCGCAGCCTTAAAGAGCAGCAAACGCCGGTTCTGCGCACGCTCAGTGGTGCCTTTGAGACACCGTCCGCCAATAGTCAACATGGGGCCACGAAGGTGACGGCGCCGCTGCGCAGGCGCGGAGGGAAGGCGGCCGCGCCGGTGACGTCACTGCTTCGAGGCGCGATGACCGCGCCCACCGCGTCTCTTACCCTCGAAGGGTGCTACGCAGAGCAGGTGTTTACTTTGTTCTGTGCAGGCTGGCATTCCCAAGACTTCTGACCCCGATTTTCTTAAGGCGGGGCGGGGGAGGAGTGTCCAATTAAGGAAAATATTCTAGCGGGCGGCAATTTGGCATCTTAAACTTGGAGGGCAGCAATGGGGTAGCAGGTGTAATTGAACGGGAAGATAGGATGCGAACCTGAATTGCTCTGAGTGCACAAAGACTAGGAAGTAGGGAAAAGCCGTTGTTCCATCCAGTGGCTAGGGCTGGGAGGTCACATTGCAGCATTTGAAGGACGCTGGCAGACAGGGTCGACAGAGTCGGTATGCAGACAAACAAACTGAAGAATAAATAAATGGCGATATGGGACACAACCCCTCATACCCGAGAGTAAGGGGGGTGTATTAAGTAGTGGCTGGCAGGCTGCTTTCTCTGGATGAACAGAGACAGTGCCAATGTGTTGGGAATGTAGGGGGTGTGAGCAGAGGCCAGGTGCTGTAGGATCTCCTCTGCCAGGGATGGAATTCACATTTCATTCTGGACATAATGAGAAGCCATAAGAGGGATCAGATTTTCAAAAGACCAGTCTGAAGCAATCTAGCTTTATATATTAATGTTTAAAATAAACGTATATTTGACTCATTTGTGTACTGCCTGTCTTGCCCCATTAGAATAAGACCTCCACGGGGATTTGTTAAGCACCTCCTGTTTGCCAGGTGGTGTTCTAGATTGAGAATATAGCAGGGAAGAAAATAGATCCAAACAAACATGATGGAGACAACCTGAGTTTAAACCCCCACTTATCAGCTGTGTGACCTAATCTCTGACTCTTAACTTCTCTGTGCTAAGTTTCCTCAACTATAAAATGGGGATAAAGACAGTGCCTACCTCATTTGGGTTGTGGTGACAAATGAGCCAATAATTGTAAAGGGTTTGGAGTAATGCCTGGCACGTGGCAAGTGCTGTGTGTTTATTGTTATTTTAATAACATTAGATGTGTGTATACACAAAACTTTCTTAATAGGAAGGAAAAATAAAATAAAAAGCTGACTTGCAGCCTGCTTTGTGGAGAACAGATTGCAGAGGGCAAGGGTGGTAGCAAGGAGAACAGTGAGGAGGCTTCTGCCAACAGGCAAAGCAAGTGATACTACTCAGTGTGTCCTGTGTGTCAGGCACTGTGTGAAGCCTTGGATAGTCATGATGGTCTTATGGCCCCCACTTGTCAGCTAAGAAAACTGAATTGCAGAGAGATTAAAGTAACTTGCCCAAGGTAACATAGGTTTCCAAGGTCAGATTCATAACTTCCACCCATTAAGGCTCTTCTTTTGTTAGTTAATATGCCACAGAACTTCTTGAAGATACCTGAGAACCTCATTCCAGAACCATTAAAACTAGCCAAGGAATGGAGCTTCCTAGCAGATAAGGCAAAGAAAGGAAGCAAGAAAGGTACTAAGATCTCCTGCTCCCTGAAGGATAAACACCTCCCAAGCACAAAACTTATCTGCTCTTTCAATGCATTCAGAGGTGAAAAATAGAAAGGGCTGAACCTTTAGGACCCACCATAGTTTAGCCTCTTCCGGCCCCTAAATGTCACCTCTCACCTCCTTATACATACAACCTATGCAGAGGGAGAAATCCTTTAGGGTTGGTAGGAATTGGGGTACAGCGATTGCCAGCTTCAGAAATGTTTCTGGGCCAGGGATACAGCCCCTCAGAAACTATCCCAGGGCCCACAGTGCACAGGCACAAGTCATGTGAGGGCAGCTTTTCTACTGTGGAGCCAGGACCTCCACTTTCTGTCCTGGGTATCCTCTACCATCAGTCCCTACAGGTGCAGCCTCTTAATCCAGTAGCCTAAGCAGCAGGTGGCTGGGCGAAGGGGTGTGGGAAGCTGACACGCATCTGGTCTCACCACAGAGTCTGCATGATGTGACACTCCCACCCAAAGACACAAGAAAATCCCCACACCTGGCTGACAAGTCATTATTACGATTACTCTTAAAACACATTTTATCAAAAATATAAAAGCCTTTCCAATTGTGGGCAGACATTTTGGAGAGGCAGCGGATGAGATTGGCAGAACAATACAGCACAGAAGGAGCCAGGTCTCTGGTGACCTTAGAGCCACCACACTAGCCCTGAATTACCTGCCTCCAAAAGAGGAATCCGATTTCTTTCTCTTGAAGCCACTGGTATTTGTGTTGTGTTGGTATGTGAAACCAAACCAAATCCTGAACAACACATCAGACTTTTCTGTCCTGGCCAATGTGAGTGTAGCACACAGGAGACACATGGTACTGGGGGGGGGGCAGGGCGGGTAGGGCAGTGAATAATGGTGAATAAAGGACAAATTGGGAGTGAATAGGGGCAAGGAGAGACAAGGGATGGAGGCTCATCGGCAGCAGAGTGGAGGGAATGTGGGACAAAGCGAGGGAATATATATTCCATTTTGAATTTGAGATTGCGATGAGACTGAGTAGATGATGGGGAAAGAGTCACAATCTAAGTGAAAAACTGAAAGTAGACCATGAGAGAACGGAGCAATGAAAGGTGGTGAATGTGAACGGAGTTGATATGAGTACTGGGGATTAGAGTGTGAAAGGATGATGGCTTATGAGGCATGAGATGAGTGAAAAAAGGGGAATTTAGGGGGGAAAGCGGAGTGAATGGGGATAACATGGGGCACAGAGGGAAGAATGGGTGCAGGAAGGGCAGAAGAGGGAATGGAGATGAATACGTGGTAGAATGTGGATCAGGCTGTTTGAGTGGGGAAGGAGGGTGATTGGGGTGAATGGGGACAAACTAGAATTTAATGGGGGTGATACAGGGTAGTGATCCAGGAATGTGGGGGTACATGGATCCCAGTGGGAATCACAAACATGAAGGAGCTGAGGAATGTGCATGGATGGAGGGGATGCAGAGAGAGGGGGAATGAAAGTAAAGAGCAATAGGTAAGTAAAGAGGGTACCATGAGGGAGAGAGGGGTGGAGGTGATGTGAACCAGGGTGAGTAAAAGAAGGGAAACACGGAGCCCAGTGTGCAAAAAATGACAGAGTTGAGGCAAAGTGTGACTGGACGGGGGCAGAGTGGGAGCAACTAGACATGAATCAGGAGCAGAATATGAGTGAGAAGATGGAAATAGTTACATTGGGAGTGAATTTAAACGAATGAGGGAGTGAAAGGTGGAGTGAGAGTCAATGGAGACAATGAAGACAAAACTGAGAAAGAGCAGAGCTGACTGAGCGTAGCGTGAGTACGCATAATGTGAGCTAGTGTTTGGGAGTAGAGTGAGGAGTTCTAAGAAATGGGAGTTACACGGGGACGGCATCTGAGAGAATAGCGGTGAAGAAGGGACAGAAAGGAAAGGAACAGGGGAGATAACGAGGCTCCCAAGTCAACGAACAAAGCTGAAGGACAGGCCACGTAGAGTGAACGGCAGTCATTTGATGCTTGGTTAGGAAGCAGAGGTGAAATGAGTGAGAATAAATGGAGGTAAAGAAGGAATACATGTGAGCAAACTTGGGTAATGGTAGCTTGAGTTAGAAAATGGTGACAATATAAGGCCCAGTGTGAGTGAATGTAAGTGGATGAGAGGCAGTGGTAAGTGAATAGGGGGATACAGGCAGAACAAGAATGAAGTGAAAAAGCAAGTCACATATGAGGATGTATGACTGTAACATGGACAGATTCAGTAAATTAGGATGGAGCAGCATAATATGTACAGAGAGGTGAACAAGATCCTCATAATGAGTGCTATAGTTGGAGTTTGTCCCTTCCAAAATTCAAGTGTTGGAAACTTAATCCCCAATGCAACAGTGTTGGGAGGTGGGGCCTTTGGGGAAGTGTTTAGGTTTCTGTGTTCCAGAATCTACCACTTAGACCTTTGCTCATAAAGTCCAGAGTTCCAGAATGTCTCTAATTCTGAATACCACTTGGCGAGTCAGGAGCAAGGAGTTAGCTAGGAGGGCTTATGGGTGTCACAATGCAGGTCCAAGGCACTGTGGTACTGATCTTGGCCACGCTGATGGTTGCCACTGTGGATGCCAAGATCTATGAACGCTGCGAGCTGGCAAAAAAGCTGGAGAAGGCAGGCCTTAACAGTTACAAGGGCTACAGCATTGGAGACTGTGAGATTCCAGTTATCCCAAGTCCCATCCACACCCTAAGCTACCCATCACATTCAAACCCAGGCCCTGTTTGTCATTTATCACCCCTCCAGGGCAGGGCATGATTCCTTTGGTCACTCCCTGACTTGACTGACTGTAATGAGTGGTTTAGCTAAGTCTAATGTCATTATTGCCTTCACAACCATCACTTCCATCTCTACCATCAACACCATCACTACAATCAATATCACCACTATTACCACCATAAATATCATGGCCACCACCATCACTGATATCTCACCAGAATCCCCAACAGCACCACTAACAAACCAAGATCATCACTCTCACAGCTGAGACCACAACCATCCCTGTCCCTTCCTCATCCCATCCTTCCCTATTCCCAAACTCTATGCCTACCTCCTTCTTCCCCTCTTTCTGCTCCAGGGCTGTGCATGGCTCACTATGAGAGTGGCTTTGACACCTCCTTCGTGGACCACAATCTTGATGGCAGCAGTGACTATGGCATTTTCCAGCTGAACTCTGCCTGGTGGTGTGACAATGGTGTTACACCCACCCAGAACCTCTGCCAAATGCATTGTCAAGGTAAGGCAGCACTGGGGACACTGAAGCCCTGCCTGACTCCACGTTCCCACACACAGAGGGTAAGACTGTCTAAGCCATAGTCTTCTGCAATGAGCACCAAAATGATGGTGGGGGGAGTGATGGGGAAAGGATGATGTCTCTAACAGCCTAGGTTAGAGACACCATCCTGTATCATTACCCAGACTACACTGAGAGGGTATTTAGGTCAGAAGAACTCAAAGCTCCCAACCCTCATTCAGAATGGACACTGCAGTTTTCTGAGACTCAGGAAACAGGAAACTTAGTGCCATGTGGAATAGACTGTCCTGATTTGGACTTGAGGTTGCCCAGACTCTGAAAAAAGAAGCAGATATCTGGTTGTAGAAACAGAAACAGGCTACTTTCATGCAGAAACCTCCAAGCAGAAATGAGAAATGAGAGAACGTTCCAGATAAGAGTATGGTATTGTTGAAGACAAAATAGAATAACAGTTGAAGTTGTTCGGTGTTGGCCAAAATGGTGGTTGAAGTTGTCCGTTATGGCCAACACAGGCCATAATGGAGACTGAGGTTATTTGAGACCAGCCCAAATGGAGACTGAGGTTGTGCAAGTCCTGCCAACATGACAGAAGTGGTCACTCAGGATAGGCCAGCTTAAAAATTGAAGTTGTCCAGGGTAACATGAATAATGAGTTTTTTTTCAAGACTAGCTAAAATGAAGGTTAAGTTTGTTCAGTTTGAGCCAACATGGAAGTTGAAGTAGTCCAGGAGTAGCTAAAATGGAGGTTGATGTCTTGGACCAGTCAACATGGAGGCTGAAGTTATTCATAATCCATTAAAATGGCAGTTGAGGTTGTTCAGGACTAGTCAACATGGTGGTTGCGATCATTAATGACTAGCCAAGTGGCAGTTAAGGTCACCCTGGTCCAGCCAGCATGGAAGATGAGATCATCTAGAATCAGGAACCATGAAGGCTGAGGTTGAACAGGGCTAGAGATTCAGGTCATTCATAACCAGTCAAAATGGGAGTTGAGTTTATCTAAGACCTGGAAACATAGTATTTGAAAGTCACCAGGACTGACCAACATGGCAATTGAGTAACTTCACAACTAGCCAACTTGGTGGTTCAGGTCATCTCAGACGAGTCAGCATTGCAGTTGAAATCATTCATGACCAGACGAAATGGCAGTTGAAGTCATTGAGAACTGGCTGACATGGAGTTTGAGGTTGTCCAGGACCCACCAGAGACTGAGGTTATTCAGAACCAGCCAACATGACTGTCAAGATAATCCATGATCAGGCAATGTGTGTTAAGATTATACAGAACCAGTCAACATGGTGGTTATAATTCATAACCAGCTGACAAGAGGTCATCAAGAATCAGCCAATGTAGTGGTTGAGGCTTTCAAACCCCAAAGAACCCAGAACCCCTAGGCCCTCCATACACTGTCACTCTTTCCTAAATGCACCAGATCACCACATCCCTCTCTTCCCCTTAGACCTGCTCAATCGCCATATTCTGGATGACATCATGTGTGCCAAGCGAATCATAGCCTCACAGAGTGGTATGTCTGCCTGGTAAGTTCATTGGGATGGCCTGGACCATGGGCAGCAAGAGATAGTGGCACTGCTACCCCATCAACCTGTTCACTTCATCCTCCATCCTTCCTTTCATTTCCCAGGAATTCGTGGAAGGAGCACTGCTCTGGCCATGATTTATCTGAATGGCTCAAAGGGTGTGATATGCGTGTGAAAACTGACCCAAAAATTAATTCATGACTCCAAGGCCCAGTGATAGAGATTTTCCTTTCCTTTCTTTTCTTTCTTTTGTGGTTGTAATAAAGGATGGTATCTATAAACAATGCAAGAGATGCTCTGATGCCTGACTCTCTTCATTTTTCCAACGCCTGAAGGTACTCCTATCCAGTCACTTCCTCCATGTATTCAAAGCTCTGATTAAGAATTCCAGATCACTCGGGGTGGAGTGGGAGGAGAGGATAGTGTAGTGATTAAGAACATATGTTCTAACCCAGGCCCACATGGAGGCTTAGAGTGACATAAGCAGATGTATTTTTTAAAAATAGCATATGTTCTCCTGGGTTTAAATACCATCTCTACCACTTACTAGCTGTGTTGTCGTGGAAAAGGCATGTGATTTCTCTCTGTGCCTTAGTTTCCTCATCTGTAAAATGAGGATGATAATGATAGTAACTACCTCATGGGGTTATTTGGAGGATTCAGTGAATTAATATTTATAAAGCACATAAAGTGTTTGGTGCATAAGACAGTTGGAGTAGGACGGGGTATGAAGATTGGCTTCTTCGTGCGCCTGTAGTTCCAGCTACTTGGAAGGTGGAGGCAGAAGGATCGCCGGAGCTCAGCAGGTCGAGGCTGCGGTGGCCGGGAGCGGCCACTGCACTCCAGTCTGGGCGACAGAGTGAGACTCCAACTCAAAAAACAAAAAATTGGCTTCTTATAAAAAGAATCACTCTCAGTTGAGGTCACTACAGGGTCTTTATTTAAGGCAAATACATCTCTTCAGGGAAGCATGAATCCAATAGGATTCTTCTTACACAGGAAACTCAGTGGGACTTAGGATTTTAAAGTATTTACATTCTCTCACATCCTCCCACATTCCTCCACATATCACCATTCTCCCAGCCCCTGCACCCCCCATTCATTATTAAAGTTCTAATTTTCAAATGACAGACTGGGGATTTAGACAAAGCATTCAATGGATGCAAGGTAATAATTTCTTTTTTACAGAATGCCTGGGTTTCAGTTTATGTCTTGTACAGAGAATTTAGGAATTTAAGCTTGTCGTTCTTTCTCTTTGCATTGGCCAGCCCCACTAGAGGCAACCACTCCCATGAGGAAGCAGTCCTTCATGTTCTTTGTAGACTTTGGTTGGGGGGTGCATACTCAAGTACCCAAAACCTTACTTTCAGTGTTCGCTTCACCCAAGATAAGCACAGATGGTCATGAAAACAGCCAGATGCCATTGCGTGCCAAGGAACGCCCAAGCCCCCTTCCTTAATGCTAACTGGGTTTCCCCTGCCTTCAGCCCCAACCAGCCTAGCTAATCAAATCTCACATCTCCCTGAGGGTCCATCAAGGGTGCCATCACTTTGGGTACTGATTTCTGGATGTGAGAGTTATTAATCAAAAGCAGCAGAAATAAACTCTGGTGAGTTTAAGTCAAAAATGGATCTTCTAAAAGCCTATCAGGTAGTTCACAGGATTTCTGAAAAGGCTACATGATCAAGTTCAGAAGTAGGGCAGGTGCACACATAGAAACACAGACTAAACTTGCCCACAGAACAGGCTGGAGCAGAAATGCTGGTGTTTATCAAGTTTTGCTACTTGTGGAAACTGGATTTGATGTCCTAGTGTTGTTTTCTTTACATTGTTCTGATTATGCATTCTTTCTAATAATTTGTAACCTTTAGAGTATATTTTAAATTGTTGTACCTTTCGTGGTTATCTTTAAATCTGTAACTTCATATCATTTGATAAACCCTTTTGTTCTTACAGATGACACATACTCCCCATTATAAGAGATGACAAAACAAATTTTTTTTTTTGAGTTGGAGTCTCACTCTGTCGCCCAGACTGGAGTGCAGTGGCCACTCCTGGCCACTGCAGCCTCGCCTTCTGGGCTCCGGCGATCCTTCCGCCTCAGCCTTCCAAGTAGCCGAAATTACAGGCATGTGCTACCACGCCCGGCTGATTTTTTGATTTATTGTAGAGATGAGGTCTCACTGCCCAGGCAAGTCTCGAACCCGCAGGCTCAGGCAATCCATTCACCTCAGCCTCCCAAAGGCGCGGGATTACAGGCTGAGCCACCGAGCCCAGCCAAATATTCTTAATAGTAGATATATTGGTATTAAATTTGGAAACATACAGGGGTGTCAAAAATGTATACACGTTTTAAGTATGGTATTCACTCAAAAGATGGCATTATCAAATGAATGCTTGCATTACCATGCAACAGGCAGGACAGTCAAAGAAAATGGTGGAAGCACAGTTGAGCAAACATCATACTACACATTGCTACCATAATTTAGTTCAACTTTGAAAAGTAATACATAGATAACATCTCTTAAAATGTGTATACATTTTTGGCACTCCCTGTATTTCCCTTGTATTATTTCTAAGGACTATGCTTACTGAAACTAATTGATTTAGGTTTCCCTTGATACCTGTGCCCAGATTTATGATGAGGTTTAGCTTCCAGCAGACAGCTCTCATATATTCAAAGCCTCAAAATATTTCAGTCTTGATGTAAAATGATCTTTCAATTTACACCCATGATACAATTACAAAGGTCGATATTTTTGCTTCAGGACCTTGGATTTTGCTATTCCTTCTGCCTGGAATGTTCTTCCCCCACTATAGCTGGTGCCTCATTTTCAAGTCTAAGCTCAATTGTCATGTCCTCAGAAAAGCTCAACCTGCTGGGCTCAGGTTATCTTTCTGCCCCAGCCTTCCAAGCAGCTGGAACTACAGGTGTGTACTGCCACACCCAGTTGATTTTTTGCTTTATGGTAGAGATGAGGTCTCGAACCCTTGGGCTCAGGCAATCCTCTCACCCCTGCCTCCCAAAGTGCTGGGATTACAGGTATGAGCTACATACCTACCTTCTCTGAGTTCTTTAATCCATGCTGAGCTTTGACTCCTGGAAAATTTGTCTCATGTTCAGGACACACATAGGGTTTCTCTCCTATGTGAGTTCTCTGTTGCTAAATGAGTGTTTGCTTCTCTCTGAAGGCTCTACTACACTTATCACATTCACAAGGTTTCTCTCCTCTGTGAGTTCTTTGATGTATAATGAGATATGATTTCTGGAATAAATCTTTCTCACATACATTATACTCGTAGGGTTTCTCTGCAGTGTGAACTCTGATGAATAATGAGGTATGATTTCTGGAAGACAACTTTATCACATTCATTGCATTCATAGGCTTTCTCAAATTTTTCTCTCGTGTGAGCTCTCTGGTGTAACATGAGATATGATTTCCAGGAGAAGACTTTTCCACATATATTACAGCCATGAGTTTTTCTCCTGTGAATTTTCGGATAAGCACTGAGGCTCAGCTTAAAGTGAAGGTTTTCCACAATCTGAACACACATAAGGTTTCTCTCCTGTATGAGTTTGTTGATGTCTACGCAGTGCTGACCTCCCTCTGAAGGATTTGCCACATTCATTACATGCAAAAGGTTTCTCTCCTGTGTGTGTTCTCTGATGTACACTGAGGTGTGCCTTTTGGCTGAAGGTTTTTCCACATTCGTAACATTCATAGGGCTTCTCTCCAGTGTGAGTTCTATGCACAATGAGCTTTACCTTTTCTTGAAATGTTTTGCCGCACTCATTGCATACATATGGTTTTCACCTGTATGCATTCTTTGGTGTATATACAGTGTTGTTTTCTCTCTGAAGGATTTGCCTCACATATCACACTCAAATACTTGTCTCCTGTGTGCCTCCTCTGATGTATACTGAGGTGTGCTTTCTTGTTGACCACTTTTCTGCATTCTGAACCTTCGCAAAATTTCTCTCCTTTATAAGTGTTCTGATGAACAATAAGGAATGAATTCTTACTGGGGCATTTTCTACACTCAGGATATTCATAGGTTTTCTCCAGCTTGAGTCATATTGTGCTGAACAACAGATAGATTACAACCTTTCCCATGTGCATTATAGCCATAGGATTTCATCCCATTATTTTTCTCATGCCTGCCAGGAATTAGTAATTTCCCACATCCATTACACTCATGACATTTCTGAGCTGCAAAGCTTCTATTATAACTGAGTAACCTAAATTATCCTTAAAACTTTTCCCATATGAATCATTCCATATAGGGTATGTGTACTGAAGACACTACCCATGTGCTCTGAGGAAGTGGATTTACGAATCCGTCACATTTATAACCTCTTTCCTTCGTCATGCTTTCCTTGTTAATATACATAGCTCACCTCAAGTGTCTGTTATGGTCTCCTACTGCCTTTTTAGTTTGTCATCAGTTTGCCAGAGTCCTAGAAAAAAAAAGGACTGATAAACCATACTATACCCTGTGAATTCACCTTTGTCAGAATCAGGCCTCTGGTGGAGTTGACTTTTTTTCTTTTAAGTCTATATACCAGTCAGAAAGAAATTCCAAGTACATTTCTTTCACATGCTGAGCTTGAGGGGAAAACAACTCAAGTTGCTCTAATAGAAATTGAGACAGGAAAGTACCAATAAATATAAGTGACTTTGGTTGTTTAAGAAAAATACCTTAAACTGGGAAGAGAAGGTAAAAATAGGTTTAGGGAACCGTGAGTAGGAAAAGGAGAGATTGGAAGGATAGTAGAACCAGCACTTAGGGGGAGAGGGACTCAGAACAAAAAGAGCCTTTCAGGAAAGCTGAAAACAATTGAAGTGATCAAAAGAATAAGCAGAAGGATTAGGCCAGATTATGGTGAGGCTAGTTCCTCGTTGCCTCCCTCCAATATTACTATGAGACAGTAACTCACAAAACTAACAATTTGGAGTTAGAAACAAAAGTTCATAACCTTTAGGAAGATATTTCAAAGATGTCCAGTCCTCACTAACCTACTGGATTCTTTCTCTCATCATCTCCCACCTGCTCACTTCTTACTTGCCTGTACAACTTGAACTTGGGATTTCTCTCTCTGTAACCCAAAGCATTTCCTTCTTCAAAGAGTTACTCACATCTGGTTTGGTCACAGATTACCCTGTAATGGAAAATGACACAAGAATTGGGTACCTCTGTATGAGCTTCAGAGTCTCAAAAAATGAGGAAAGTACATGTTAATGAGGGTAAATTTCACATGGGAGATGAAAATACAATCACTTTGTTC